TTTGTTACTGTGGAAAAGGGTAAAATCTCTAGTAGGGTTTCTTTTGCAGCCTTTCAGTCATTGCAGCAAGTCTGATATTCAAGCTTGTGACCTACTCTACACCTTAGAGCAGCAAAATTTGCCCTTAAGCGAGGGATGAGGTTATCATTCTTAAATGCAAGTTTGTGGGTTTAATTTGGTTCTTTCTTACATCATCACTACCTCACTCATTCATGCTTTTAGCATTCAGGAAAAACAAGTTTGATGTTTCATACACACTTAGAAGATGAATGGGTTTTAATCTTTTTTGCTCCCAGTCCAACAATTAGGGGATATAGAATAGTCTCACCTGCTATTCATTTGCTACCCTATTCATGATTCTATTGACTGTTGTCTGGGCAGCTTTATTTCCTGGTTGCTTTTTTTTTTTCCCTTTTATTGCAAATAACTCATTATTTAAACACATGAAATAAAGGCTCCATGGTGTAAGAAGGAAAGCACTTATATATTGAGTCAGCTGCAGCATACTTAATGAAAGCTTGATTTGTCAGCCTCAATTCCTAGAATGGAGCTTTAAACTGTTTAAAATCATGTGCATTTATTTTTGTATTCCAGATGCCCAGTTTAACATCTCACCTCATGTATTTAGGTGACAGTATTGTACAAGATGACAAAGTCATTTTTGACAGTAGTTGTTAATATATTATGTATTTTATTTCCTTTTTGTAAGGTGAAGTTGATGATGCTTAAAGCTGCTTCCAACACTTGGGGCACTGCCCAACCCTAGGACTACTGCTTCCCTGACTGGAGGCTGAATTGACTTTGTAGGCACCCTGGCTTTCACTGCATTTATCTCACTGTCTACTGATACAGGAAAAACATAACCAACATGAATGAGCTCTGTGGAGTTTGTCCCGACCTTACTTAGTCCAGTGCTGCTGATCAACTCCTACCTGTGTTGTGTATTTCCTCTGCGATGTACATGCCTTCTCTGTAAGTTAATCCACCTAGGACAGGAGTCCCAGTTGCTGGAGCCAGTGAGGGATCGAAAGCATCAATGTCAAAACTCAGGTGAATTGGTCTCTGTCTCCTGAGACAGAATAAAATGAAAAAAGCAACCTCAGAACCTTAAACATTTTCTATTTCTTACTGTCCAGGCTGATTAGCAAAGTAGCATCATGCTTTATGATGCTGAAGTTCCTCCCCAAGTCCTGCACCACATCTTGTACGCATTGGCGAAAGATTTATTTGTTTGGGTTTTTTTAGTGTATTTGGACTCTGAAACATCTCTTAGCTCAGAACTTTCCCCAGTACATGTTGGGAAAACAGAAGTTTGTCTTTCTAGTTTCACTGAGCATCCACTCAGGTGTAATTTTGCTGGAGACAAGTACTTTATTTCTAAGTATCTTATCTGGTATTTGGCTCATTAGTTGGAAGAATGTAGAGAAATGCCTGGTATAATTCAGCCTTTCTCCTTCTGTACAGAAAGCCAGGGTGAAAGGCTGAAACAGTGTTTCACATGGCATCTAGAATGGAGGAAGTGCCAAGCGTGAGGATTTCCTACCCTATCAGGATAAATTTTCCTAGCTCATCAGGATACCTGGGGCATTCTGCACCTTTCAGGTCAATAGTTGAAGGCTGCCTCCAAACTCTGCCGTGTCAGCCTAGCTGATGAAAAAGTGAAGGATAATCTCAAACTTAAGTTGTTAGTTACTGAGTACATGAAGTCTGGCAACTGATGACTCTAATAAATTGGACACTACTTGTCAATTTAAGTGGCAGACTGTGTACTTCCAACGTTGTGCAGATGCTCAGTAGGGAGAAGCATCTGGATTAGCAACTTCTTTACTTGGTATAGCTGCAGCTACGAAGGATGAGCACACCTTTAGGTACAACAGCATGCAGCACAAACACATGGACCTTGTTCTGCTTACAGGACTTTGTTCTATGCTGTGGGAAGAGTTTACCCTTTCTAACCGGTCCTCTCCATGTGTCCCTAGATGAGCAGGATTTGCTCCCTGATCTGGTTCCTTGACTTAAAGAAGGTTAGCGAAGACTTGGGAACTGAACTTAAGTAAGGAAGTGGTTACAGTGACCCTCACAAGCTGAACTGAAAGTGGCAGTTGTCATCAGGACAGCACATGTGAGCACAGTCTAGGGACGAAGCCACCAAATGCTTATGTCTCATGTTGAACTACCTCATGTAGTTAGCTGTACTATCAGCTGAATTCAAGTCACTGTTAAGTTGCTACAGACCTGTCTTTAAAAGTATGATGTATAGCCTGGACTCTGAGTTGATTCAAACATCTTGTCAAACTGCAGCAAAATGCAGAAGTCCTCAAGAAAGAGAACAAGCTATATAAAGCAGAGCCACAACTGCAGTGTAACCCATCTTGCAGCTTTTTGCCAAACGCCATGAAATGGTTCTAGTTCAAGATACGGAAGCTAAGGACTAAAGTCAGTGCTAAGACCTCACTATTTACTGGCACAATCACAGTTCTGTTAGGCCACCTTACATCAAAAGTAAGGCCTTACTTTCAGGAAAGTAGATATTCAGAAATGGATGATGAGTAGTTGAAATCAGATAATAGTTTGTTACCTGCCCATAAGTTGTTCAAATGTTCTTTCCATAACCTTCTGAATTCCAAGGCGATCAATATCCCTCATTGAAAAATACTGGATGTCATAGTTCTTCAAAATATAGCTGTTGAAATAATAGTAATAAAAAAAATCATTACTGGTCTAAGCTTAAGCCTCGCAACCCTTGTGAACAGCCACATGTGGAAAGAAGCTCATGATTTCAGCCTGAACAAAAATCCTTTAACTAAACTTACTATTCAGCAGGATCCACATCCCTCAAACCAATGTACACAATATCAGAAGCTGAAAGGCAGGGCTTTAGCCAGGAAAAGCCAGGAAGTTGTGGTACCTGCAAACAAAGGTTTAGTATTAGGTTGATGACATATAAAACAAAATTGCATTAAATGCTTCCCTCAAAATTTTATATTTATTTATAGCATCAGTTCTCTGTCTGAACAGAGAAACTTCATCACTTGAGAGGTTGGCTTCCTGATTTAATCAATCCTTACCTTTGTCATACCATTTACCTGAGTTCAGTGTTAATGGATGAAGATTTTAACTCTTCTACATTTTCCAGTTTGAAGAGGAATAAAAAGCCCAAAGCCACAAGTAGTCAGCAGCAGTGAATGTAAGGGGGGATGGTAATAAAACTAGATACCCAGATGTAGATACCTTGTACAGTGCATTTAACAGTAATGCTGTGTAACTTACCCAGTACATAGTACTGAAGTGGAAGAGTAAAATCGAGGTGCTTCTGTCTTTTTAGGAGAATCACCAAAAAGTCATGCAAACTTTTGTTACAAAACCAATGTTAAAGATGGACAAATTCAAAGTGAGTAGTTGGGGACGGGGGGTGGGAAGAGCATGACAGGAAGTTGGGACTCCACACTGGGCTGCATATGACTGGTTTTTAGTCTAGAGCTGAAGAGAGCAGGTTTAGGACAGCAAATGGTAGATGATAAGGTCATCATTTTCAGCTTTGGTAATTAAGTAGTCATGAGATGCAATTATAAGAATCCTTCAGTTAGCAATAGCTACTCATTTTAGGACTGCTTTAAATTAACTCAAATTTCTCTTCTTCCTCTCCCAGCTCTGAAAACGGCTACAGCCCAACACAGCTGTCAAGCAGCAAGAAGGCTGTTTCCCTTTTATACTTAATTACTAATTACATTGTAGTTACAACATTCAGATTTGGTTTTAAAGGCTAACACACCCATAGCTATATTTAATTACATTGGGATTAAATAAGCACATATTATAAAAGTATTTGTTACTCTGGGACAATGACCTGAAACTCTTCTGCAGTCATGGATTCGAAAGAGGGAAAAATGAATTGGGAAAAATGAATTAGGAAAAATTCCTAGGAAAAATTCACTAGGAAAAATAATTCATGTCTCAGAAATGAAGCTGTATCTGCAAAACTTATCACCATACCGTAAGTTGAGGATAGTATTGATAATGTTGTCAGTATCAATGATTTAGCAGATTAATCCTGCCATTTTTAATTCTACCTCTTTAAATAAAGAAAATGGAATGCCTTTACTTCTTCTGGTAGGCTCTGTTCTTACTTTGTTGCAATAGAAAAGAAGTTACCTGTAATAAAGCCAAACAGACATCAGAAAAAGGTGCAGGCATTCTCACGTAAGTCATTAATAGGTTTTGAATTTAGTTTGAATGGTTCCAGGAGCCCTGACACTCATGCTTGGTTTAAGGAACACCAGCCAAGGGATTATGTTCATCAATATTTTCCTTTAAAACTGCAAAATTAAACATTTTAAAAAAACCCTGAAGTGCCACCTTGCCTTGAGGAGTACAAAGCAGTGCTCCTGTGAAGCTACCTGGGCAAACAAGTACCAGCTGTCAGCCTGTGAAGGGACTGTGCCAGCAACACCAGGGTTTGTTCTACAGTGACCTGGCCAAATGCTTTATTCTATTTCATAGCCATACTTGATGTTGTCTTCTGTGTGGGGTCACTGAATTTAATAGAGCAATGACCAAGCTCCTTAGCCTTGGATACATAAGGGATTCTGAAAACAGGTGCAATAACCTAAACTGAGGGACTTGAAGCAGCCCTGGAGCATTCCTGGGAGTTATGCTAATTTAAGCAGTTGCTGCCACATCAGTTCCTGCTGTTACCCAGTGCCAGGACAGCTGTTTGTAGGTCGTGCAGTGAATGAAGGCTAGGACTTGATGTGACTCAAAAACTAACAAAGGCAGTGCTCCTGAGGCAGTTCTCATGCAATCCCACAGAAGGTTACAGCAGCTAAACTGAGCTGCTGGCATGGGGTCAAGAACAGGCTAAACAGATTGTGCCACCAAGAGGGGCCTGTGTTGCACAACTACCTCTGTCTCATGTCCTCTTAATAGGGAATGAAGGACAAGGAGCCTGGAGATGCTGGAAGAGCAGTACCAGTTAGAGAAGGACAGTGAACCAGGAAGATAAAATGTAATCATGCAGGCTGTTTTGCTCTCTATGTCCTCAGAGGAGCTGTTGTGTAGACAGGAAGCCAGGTGCTAACTTGCCTTCCTGAGACTATTAGGTCGGTGACCAAATCCTGTGATCCAGAGAGAGAGTTTGGTTGAATAACAGGAGCCCACCCAGAGAAGCATATGTTCACATGTGTGTTATGGTGGGAGGGCTTGCTCAAAAAACCCTTCACAGCATGAATGAAAGGAAGGAAGGAGATACAGGGCTCACTGCAAAATCTCCCTTGGCTTCTCACACTGCTATGCTATGTACCCTTTGACAAGATAGAAACCTCTTCAAGAGGCAAAGTGCAGCTGGTTGGTTTGTCTGTTGTGTTGAGAAAAAAGTTATGCTTAGCTCTGCATACAGACTAACATAGCCTTTTTGCTGGCGACAGGCAGTTTTAGGATTTAAAAAGAATCCTTGCAAAGCTGTCAAGAAAGGACAGTAAAATTTCTTGCCCCATTATCAACACATCTGCTCTACTAGATGAGAGCAAGAGCACAAGCCAGATGCCCCTGTTCTCACAGTAAAGTTCCCTCTCATGAGCCAGACAGGTAGCCAGGCAACCTACTGTCAAAAGCATATTCTACTACTGCTAAACAGGTGTTTAAAGATTTATACTGTTGTAGAAGCCACCTGGTACCAGCAGGAGAGATGTTGGGTTTCTTCCCTCTAAACAGGAATACAGTAGGCTATGAAAACCCTCTAAACACGTACATCCCTGCTGTGTGGCTGCAAATACAGGTTGAGGGGCTTGTGTCAGATGTTCTGCGTAGGCTTCCTGACCTAAAATAGGGCTTAGGTGGGCTTGAGACAAGATCTCATAACAGCACCACCCCTGACCAACTCACCTCTGAGCGTAGCCTCATCTTACTCTTTCTTCACTACTGCTGCTGGCGAGAGGGCTACTCCCCCTCTGACCCCAGAGAGCTCACAGTGTTCTTTTAGCAGCTTAAAAACAAAAATTTAAAAAAAAATTCAAAAAATCTTGCTTTTCTGTGCTGCTCAAGAACCAGAGCCCAGCAGAGCAGAAATCAACAATGTATACACCCAAAGCTGATTCGATACCTCTGTCCTACTGACAAAAGAGGAAAGCAGCATATCTTGTTCTACCTTTCTCCTCCTTCCTTAGCTATCAAAGAACTTGGCTTGGTTTTGTTCTTACCAAGGCATAAACTGTTCACCTTAGGTAAGCTCCAAAATTCACAAGATTTTCTCTTATCTGTCCTGCGGAAGTGAGTACAGTTGCCAAAAAGAAGAGTATCCCACCCTTTAAGTTGTGGGCAAGAAACTAGAAATACAGTAGCCTTTTATATTAACCTTCTCATGTCCTGGGGTTATTTCAAGAAGCCCCCTTAATTTTGCCTTACTTTGGGAATATTAGCATGTTTGTATAGACTATATAAGGATTATTAGAAAGAGAAAAGTATGTAGAAGCACCAAATTACTCTTAACTTGTGGACAGAATTCATTCAAAAGAATTTGCAGGACAAAGCAGAAGAGCTTTACTAGGTGATAGCAATCTTGCTGTACCAACAGATACTAATGCAATGTTACCTTCAATAACCATAAAGATGATAAGCATGCTTGTTCTTACTTGGAAGAGGCATACAAAGCACTCCCAAAATCTACCAGAGAGAAAAAGAAATCTAAGAGAAATAACTAGCAGGCCAAAGTGCCAGAATAATCAGGTTTTCTGCAGCTCCAGCATGCAGTTGCTGATCCTGCCCCCATTTTCCAGCATAAGCTTCAGTAGAAGCAGATTGTCATATCCAAGTTCCAGCTGTAAAGGCCCTGGCTATTAATGCATCGGCTGCCACAGTAATGTCCCTGTATATGTTACAGCCAAAAAGGACATGCAGGCCTTTGGTCAACCTACTGTTTAGCATCTTGACAGTAGCATAATTGGCCATGCACATTCCATGTACCCCAGTAAACAGCTCTTTTTAGTAATTTGACCTCTTTCCAAGACAAAGATACTCTCTTTACAAGCACCTGGTAAACAGGTACAGGTGTTGTGTTTTGTATTTGCCAGTGGAGCCAACACCTGAGCAGCCAGTTAGGCAATATCATGCAGGAGGAGCCCCTGTCTGGCCCTAATATTGTCAAAACATGCAGGTGCCAAACTAAGCAGAAGCAGGGAGCAAGGTATGCAGGAACGAGCTGTTACTGGAGGTGAGCTTAGCACTGCTCTCAGACATAGCTGCAGGGAGGGTCCCTCTTTTGCTCAGTTGATGGAATTGCTGCCATTGCACACCTTCAGCACCAGCTCCACTCTTTACAAGGGAACAGCATCATGGCCAGCTTCTATATGCAGTGTGTGTGAACTCTTGCTTACTGTACAGCCCACTAGTGTGCTAACACAAAGAAAAGCTTTTTTCTCATTCTTGTCTCTAAGTGTGCATATATTTGTGTCTGCATGTGTGTGTGTGTGCACTTGTGTGTATATATATGTGCATGAATACACCCACAAATAATACGTATTTTTCCTTGTACAAACATAAACAAGGTCTGTATTAGCAGCAGGTAAGAAAGCACCTCATACCAGAAAAAGTAAAATGCTCAGAGGGTTTCAATGTAGGCTAACTTAAACCACGACACTGTGTGAGCAAGGCACTTACTTTATCTTGAAGCTCTCTCAAGAGAAATGAGAGAGGTTGTCCATGGAGGCTTCCAGACTGAGTTGTGAGAGGGGTGTTTATATCAGCATGTGCATCCACCCAGATCACACCAAGGTGTGGGCATTGCCGCGCATGGCCACTGACAGAACCAAGTGCCAAGCTGGAAGTACAGTAGCAAAGTCTTTAGTCACCATTTCTCCACCAGAACAACTACAAGGACAATGGGAAGTCTCTGCAATAAGAAACTTGCAAGATGATGCAAATCAACAATGTTGTCATGCTTCAACACATCAGACATCTGTGACAATAAAGGGTGCATCCCACACAAACTGCATCTCACTGTCATGATTCCAGGAGACTCCAAGTAACTCTACAGGACTGGACTAGTACTGACAGATGAGAAAGAGCTCTTTTCTCTCTCCACTGTCACCCTTCCCCCACCCTAATCTTCACCTGTTCTTGCTCCGGATGATCTTTTAGAAAATACAGTGTGCTCACTCAGCAATTGTGCTATTCACCCATTTTTTATCCCACCTTCCCCCACAATTCATTCTTACATGCTCTACCTTCTTCAACCAATTCTCAGACCAAAGGTTAGTGAAAAAGACAAAGAGATTCACATGTCGTAAGATCTATTACAAAGTGGTCTGTGTGTAGGCATTACAAAGCCATCCTATGAGTTGATGTCCATCCTGAGAGTTGAAGGGCAAAAGAGACACATCACTAAATATTCAGCAATACAGAAACAACAACAGTTCTTAAAGGGAACTGATCACACACTCTCCCAAACAGGAAAACATCATTCGCATACCTGCAGATCACAGAAGTCTGGAGCTAAGCAGTACTGTCTTACGAAGTCAGATTTTTGTCTTCTGTGTTCCACCCTAAGAGCCCCAGCACTAAAATCAGAATACTGCTACCCTATGCTATTGCCAGGAAATGACCCCAAGTTGTTCTCACTATCCCCTTATTTTTCAATTAAATTCTTATACTCCAAGTGTCAACCTGCAGTATGCACCATGGATTGTTTCTAGTTCAGCTCACCTGTGATCACCGCCTATAGTCACACAGCTGTGCCCAGCAGCTACTGCTCTGCTTACAGTATCAGCCAGCACCTGGCTGGCTAAACCCACCGACCGTGGGTATAGGATCAGGTTGTTGTACAGTTCATCGTTGGGAACTGGAGTGAAATTCAGGTCTCCAAAGTCATACACTTGGCATCCTGGAAACACAGCAGCAAAAGAAGAAAGTGAATTACTTCAGTGCCCAGGGAAATATTCAAAATATGCTCCCCCCAGAGAATCAGTTGGGCAAGTAGGAAAGGAACAACTGGAAGGGAATGGATTCATTTGAGAATTTGCGTGTCCTTGCAAACAGCCCTGTTCCAACTTTACAGACTAGAAAGCTTAAGACAGTATTGTTGCTCAGTTTAGTGACAAGATAAAACCACCATAGAAAAAGAGCTTGGGGTTTTTTTAATTATTTCTTGGCAATTTTAACATGAAAAAGTACAGTTTGTATTGCCATCTTGCTTCCCAATTAGACAGATTGTATACAGCCTTAAATGAGCTCAGTTGCCCATAGATGCCCAGGATTGTGCATTTCATTAACTACCTGAGTGCTAACAGTTAGCTTCCATTTTCAAACCCCACAAGAATCCAAGCACAAAGGCGCCAAGTTACCAGTAATGGAAATTGCCTTACAGTACTTCCAGGCACCTCCACGGAGGATGTGCTAGTGCTCTGTAGGAGAACCTGCCCATTTTCTCAACGCAAGATGTTCTGGAAGGTATTTGAATTCTGAGGCTTTGACACCAACCCTCTTTAAGAACCTGTCATTGCCAGTTACAACTTAATTGGCTGTTGAAGCCTGACAACTTTTCTGGGTCTAAGACTCAGCCTTTTCTGTTTCTGTCTACTTCCCCTGAAAGGGAGTCACTTCACAGATGAGGAAACAAGGGAGCATATTTATTAATTGGCTGCATTTAAAGTTTAATTCTCTTTCACACACATTATAGATTATCCTTTGAATACATTAGCCTTTGAGGCTCTGCTGTCCAATACCAAAACTTCTAAGAGGCCAGAGCCTCTCAGTTTCAGATAGGCCTGTTGCTGCAAGCACTGATGAGGACTGTGAACACCCCAAGGTATTTACAGCTACACTGATAGCAGCTTTATAAGTCAAGACCACCCTGAATACCAGTCAGACCTGTCCCATTTGTTCCTCAGAATCACTAGCCTAGTCAGTAATTGTGAGAATGAGGTGGCTGGGAAATAGGCAAACATACTTTTTATGGGTATATGTCAAGGTATTTGTTAGAAGAGGATATATCAGCAGAGCACAGATAATTAACAAAAGATTAATTAAATGTAGTCTCAACAACTGAGAGAAAAACATTACCTACAGAGATCTAAAGCAGCAAGCAGGACCATGACATACCACTCCCTGGTTTTCAAAAGGTAACATAAGCACACAACAGCATCTTTTTGCTTCCTTAGGCAACACCTAATGAGCTAGCAGGATGAAGGCTGTGGAATTTTGGTCCTATTTGGATGTGCTATCTGATCTTCATGTGACCACTACATTTTTTTACCCTCTGTTTCATTCTGCTGCTGTGCAGAATCAGTAGAGACTTGCAAGTTCTGACAGATGCTCAATAAACATCAAGAATATTTCTTTAATGTGTGTCTTTCTGCACGGCTGCTGCTCACACACATGCACACTGCTGCACATTGCAGTATTGCCAGGTTTGATGAAAATACATGTGTGTGACCAGAAGACAAGTTTTAGAAGCAAGACTTCAAATGCATTGCATCATTTAATAGGTATCAAGAGCTGTTGGAGATGCTGTTCAAGTTAATAATACCTTCGATCTAATACCTCTGACATGTGCAGGAAGTAAATCTGCACTTGGGAGTGGTGTTCAGTGACTTACACATTGCGAGACAGCACATTACACAATGTAATGGAAGAAGGGACTGCCACTTACATTTTGTTCTGCCTTACACGGTGTCGTGGTTCAAACCCAGCCGGCAACTTGGAACCACGCAGCCGCTCGCTCACTCCCCCCCTTTTCCTTCCTCCCCCTGCTCCCGGAGGGATGGGGAGGAGAATTGGAGGAATGTAACTCCCACGAGTTGAGATAACAGCTCTCCAGTAACTAAGGTATAATACAAACCACTACTGCTACCAATAATAATGATAAGAGGAATAACAAGGGAAAAGGACACAACTGCTCACCACCCGCCGACCGATACCCAGCCCGACCCGAGCAGCGATCTGGGCCTTCCGGGTAACTCCCCCCAGTTTCTATACTGGGCATGACGTGCTGTGGTATGGAATAGCCCTTTGGCCAGTTTGGGTCAGGTGTCCTGCCTCTGCTTCCTCCTGGCTTCCCCTCCTCTCTGGCAAAGCATGAGACTGAGAAAGTCCTTGGTCAGAGTAAACATTACTGAGCAACAACTAAAAACATCGGTGTTATCAGCATTGTTCCCAGACTGAAAGTCAAAAACACAGCACTGCCCCAGCTACTAAGAAGGAGAAAAAATGACTGCTGTAGCTGAACCCAGGACACACGGCATATATATGCACATTGCAGTATTTTTATCCATTAAAGGATAAAAGAGAATGAAAGGAAATTGCATCATGAAGCTACATCTTTAGATCAGTGTAAAACAAAGAACCAACCATGACACCTTTCATAGTTCTTTAAGGAATCAGTTCAGATTCTCCAGGTTATGCTCAAGGCAGGTCAAACATGGCAGACTCTAGGAAGCATGTTTAGAGAAGTAGCACTTGTGTTCAAGAATATTTTCTTTACAAATGGGGTTAGGGTAAGGCAAAAAGACTTGGTTCAGC